CACAAGGCCCGTCCTCCCTTCTTCTTCTTTTTTTTTTTTTTAAGTAGGCTCCATGCCACCATGGGGCTCGAACTCAAAACCCTGAGACCAAGAGTCTCATGCTCTACTGACTGAACCCGCCAGGCACCCATCTCCCTTCTCTTCTTATTCCCCTTCTTCAAGGGTCACCTTGAAGCTGCCTGCTTCATGAAGCTTTCCTTCAGCCCCTTAACTGTGCCTGGCACATAGTAAGGACTCAAAAAGGATCCATTGAGACAAAGTATACATCATCTCACCTTGCTCAGAGCCTCCTCTGTAGGGCAGAGTTCAGATCTTTGTGGTCTCGCCTTTTATCTGTTCACCTGACTGAGGTCACATCAGGGGAGGGATAGATGCTTCAGTGTCCAGCCTGGCACACAGTAGGTGCTCAGGACACAAATAAAGGCTGTCTGATCCCCTCTACCCTGAAATGAGAGCCTATTGTGGGTCCGGGCTTGAAAATAATATTCACCCATCTCCATCCATACTTATTGGTTCTACGCCCTGGGGATGTGCCAGGTGAACCAGACGACCAAATCATGGCCATACGCTCATGGAGCTGACCATAAAATAGTCGAATGAATTATCCCAGCGGCCTGGGGCACCAGGGTTTGGATGCAGGATCAAGTCCCAGGCCTGAAAAAACAGTACCAGTTGCTGTAAAATGGTCTCCCAGGGGCAGCTCTGGACCACAGGCATGTTTTGTGTTGTCCGCATAGACAGAGTTTTAGAATTTTAGAATTCAAGCCTGTATTTTTCAATGTGGGGTTTTTTCTTCTTTTTTTCTTTCTTTTTTTTTTTTTGCCTCTACATCTGGTCATTGTCTGGTGTCTCTGAACATACTGCTCTGGACATACTGCTGTTCCACCTGGCAGCCCCCCTCGAACTCTCCAGGATGCCCCAGTGCAACCCCCTCCAGCCCCCCCACCGGCTGCTTCCTCGGTTAGGTCTGGCCAGGCCCGGGGCATGGAAATGAGTTGCCAGTGGATCCTGAGCAGGGGGAGACATTCTGCTCCATTCATTCACCGGGGCTTCTAGTCCGCTTCTAGCCCGCCAGTGGGGACCCTTAGCGCTTTCCCAGGGGCAGCTCCAGGCCACCCCCCCAGCGCTCCATGTGGGGCTTGGCGCACCCCCCCATCAGGCTGAGACCCGCACCTTCCCTGGGAGCCCCTCCGCTTTCAGCCTCTGCTGTGGGTTCTGGGCCTTGGGCTCCAGGCAGGGAGGGTAATCTGCCCCCTTGAATGCTAAAGATTCAGCCTTCTGCAGAGAGGCTCAGAGGCAGCCATACTCTGCTGGAAGGAAGCCCTAAATCTGAGACCTGGAATGTTTTCAGTGTATCTTGTTACCTTGGCTGAGCCCGAGAGTGCAGTCCGGTGATCGGTACCTATTCGCTCAGTCTCACTGCAGGGCGCCAGAGGGGCTCCTCGGTAGTCGTGAGGCTCAGAGGCACGGGAGGAGCTTTCTGCCCTCTCCAACATTTCCTTACCTCTGAGCCCTGATTGCCGTTGCCCCAGCCTGGGGGTCGTTGCTACATCTTGGCCCGGTCCTGGGATATGGCAGCAACAGCAATGATGATGACACATACTGGTGCTCCTCAGACTTGAAAGCCATAGACATCCCTGGAGAGCTTGTTAAGATGCCCCTTTCTATGCGGGACGACTGAACTGGGCCCTGAGAGTCTGCGTTTCTAACCAATTCCCAGGCCGTTGTCAAGGCTGCTGGTCTGGGGACCACACTTGGAGTAAAGGAGGTCAGTCCCAGCTCTTGGGCACCTGCAACCCTTCCTAAACCAGGGCGGTTTCCTGGTCAGCATCATCTCCCCAACCATCCCAACAGATACCATCATTCCCATTTTGCATGTGAAAAGTTGAAGCCCCAGAGACCGCAGGTAACTCGCCCAAGGCCACACAGTTGGGAGGCGGCTGAGCCAGGCCAGGCCAGGCCCTCTGGGCCAGCGCCACTTTGGAAAGGATGCTGGTGGGGAAGCCGTTTTCCACTGAACAGTGTCCACGGTCCAAAAGCCACAGGAGGCGTTTCGAGGCAGCCAAGTCGGATGTAAATCAGGGAGAGCCCAGGGCCAGCCAGGCGGTGCTGACAGCAGGGCAGCCTGAGGCCGTGTGTCAGGATCAGGTCTGAAGTGGGACTTACTTCGTGCTGGCATGCTGCCTGGTGTGGGGAGCCGTCGGGGGATGCTCGCAGCTCCTGGAACACCAGCGTGGGGCCTGCTGGAACCCAAGAAGGCGCCTTCTCACTCTTACACAGCCTCACTTTTTAGTTGAATCCCAGGGTGGAGGGCTGGCTGGAAGCATCGCAGTAGGATGGATGGACGCTGGGACCTGGTGCGTCAGTTGTTTAAATACTGGTGCATCCTTGCAACCGGGGATCTCATTGAGGACTGAGGTTGCCGAGATCTTCTGCTTGGCTGGGGCTTTATTTTTACACGGGGCACGTGCCCCAAGCAACTGGAAAGTGTAGAACAGATTTAGAGTCTAGGTTCTCGAAATGTGGTCACGGGATGTGCGGTCTGGTCATCACCTGGGAGCTCGTTAGAATCAGGGGCCCCACGCCAGACCTGCTGACTCAGACCCTGGGGGTGGGGCCTAGCAAGTTTTAAGAAGCCCTCCAGGCTTAACTTTGAGAAGGGCTGATTTCTCCATCTCCGGCCAAATGCCCAGGGGTCTGGGAGGGTCAGTCCTAACCTTTGCTACTGGCTGAGAGTACCAGGGCTGCAGGGTGACCTCAGATGTCATTTTATCTGTGCCGCACTTTTCTGATGGCCTGAACATCAGTTAAAGGGGCATGCATAAAGTTATACGGCATATCTGAGACAGGGCATAGGTCTGGATTCTTAGAGTTGCAAGTTGTAGAAATCAGTTCAAACTAACTTTAAAAAAACAAGGGAGGGTGGGAGTAGGGGAGGGAGGGAAGAAGGAAGGAAGGAAGGAAGGAAGGAAAGAAAAAGAGAGAGAGCGAGAAAGAAGGAAGGAAGAAAGAAGAAAGAAAAAAAGAAAAAAGAAAGAAAGAAAGAAAAAGAAAAGAAAAGAAAGAACAAAGAAAAGAAAGAACATTTACTGACTCTTAACTGAAAAGCCCCAGGGTCATACTTCAGGCATGGCTGGATCCAGGTGCTGAGATATGTCATCAGGATTGTTTCTTTCTGTCCATTTCTGGGCTCCTGTGTTGGTTACTCTCAGCTGCATAGGATGCATCCCCTCCCAGCATAGCCATCTCAGTCTAGAAAGAGCCTTCTTTTTTCCCCAATATTCTTAGCACGAGCCCTTGTCATCACTCTCATTGTCCAGGCTTGGTCACGTGCTTGTCCTTGAGCCAACTGTCACAGCCCCTCTGATTGGCTAGGCCTGGCTCACATGCCCACCCAGAACCCCGTGGGCTGAGAGTGGATGTGCATGGGTGTCCAGGTAGAATGGATGTGAGGCTGTCCCCAGAAGAAGGGGCATGGGTGCCAGCAGGCTATACCCACGGGGACTTAGTGCCATTCTTATCCTCCTCTTGGAGCTGGGTTGCCCTCAGTCAACTGCTAAGGTCTCACGCCAGATAGAATTATGCTCCTTTTCCTGGTTCCTTTACCATTATGCCTATAAATGTGCATTAAACATGCTACCTTCATCTTTCCCTTTGTCCCTCTTCCCTTGGTATAGTCCAGGATAGCAAGTTACACGTTACCCTGGCACCCACGCCTGTTGCAGGCATTACTAACCCACCCTCGCCTTCACAGCGCCACGTGTCCACCCAGAAAACAAAGCCTCCGTGGCGTCCGTGTCGCATGTTGGCCTTTACCATGGGGTTCTGGGCTCCATGAGAGCAAGCACCTCGGCTGTGTTGTTCATTGCCGGGTTCCCAGGACCTAAAACAGTGCCTGGCACACAGTAGGTGCTCAAGAAATTTTTAAATATATATATACTATATATATATTTTATTCTTAAGTAATCTCTCCCCTCAACGTGGGACTTGAACTTACAGCCCTGAGACCAACGGTCGCATGCTCTACTGACAGCCAGCCAGGAGCCCCTTAACAGATTACTGACTGAATATTCCTACCCCACAGTGCCTTGACCACTGGGCACCTAGGTTAGCCCATTGAATGTGGGGGCGCTGCCATAGCAATGAGGTTGTCTGATTTGGGGGACAGGGAGCTCTGCAGACTGCTGGGGCCATGTTTCTGAGTCTGAGGAAGGGGCTGCAAGGGCAGGGCCTCAGGTCCATTGAGGAAAGACTTGTCCACCCTGCAGGCCTCTTTCTGCCCTCCCACCATTACCCCCTTCCCTGCTCTGCTAATCCATTTACCTGTTCATTGAAATGTGTGATCCTGGTTGATAAGGAGCCATTTCCTGGTTTTCTGCATTTTCATATTCTAGGAAACCAGGGGAGCCTTCCAGCACAGCTCTGCTGGTGGATGAGAGACAGCGGTGATCTACCCCAACTTGCATTTTTTCCCCAAACTGAGTGCCAGAGAACAGGAGGTGTTCTGTTAAAAAAAAAAAAAAAACTAACAAAAAAAACAAGGCTTCAGGGGTCATTCACATTTGGGGACTGCTTGACTCAGCAAAGTTCAACAGATTCCCTTGGTATGGTGATTCTTGGAGACTTTAACCAGTCGATGAGTTATCGTCTTCTCCAAGAGTCTGGGGCCCCCAGGGCCTCCCTCCGCCCCTCCGTCTAGCCGTGGTGTGTCCCTGAGCTCACAGGGAATAGTCTTCCACAGACTTGGGCCCATGCCTAGGCTGCTCTGGTGCAGGCCTCTGGGGCCGGGCAGTGGCTTAGGGTTGCAGCTGGGGGGAGCCTCTGTGTGTGTGTGTGTGTGAACACGTGGGTCTGTGTGTGTCTGCGTGTGTGCACGGCTGCCTGGGCAGCCCGCTGTTGACTTGGCCCCTCCCAGCGTGCAAGAAGACTCCGAGTCCCGCGTATAGTCACAATCTGACCAGATCTTCTCTTTCCTTCTTTGCTTCCTCTCGTTGTATTAGGTCCAGAACAACAGCCCTTGCTGAGGAGCCTCCAAAACGTAAGTGGCATTCGTCCTCTCAGTGGTGTTGGCGTCTCCCCGATGTGCGGTCCTTGGGCTCTCAGGGTCTCCTCCAGGGTTGAGGAGGAGGAAGCAGAACCCCCAGGGCTCCGGGGCCTCATCCACATGTCACTTCGGGGTGGTGGCTTCATGGCCTGGGTCGGCCCCCTCCGCCTGCCTGTGCCGGGGAGACAGCCTTACAAATGCTGAGCACTGATTTTCGAGTCTGGCCTGGACCCCATGCTGGCTCTGCCACCGAGCAGTGATGGGGCCTCGTTGAGTTAGTTCTGAGGATTGGGCTCAGACATATGTAAAAGGGTGAGATGCTTGGTTCCCAGCACAGATAGGATGCTCCCATCAGGACTTGGGGCTACTGTCCCAATTGTCTCTTTATTAAACTCTTTTTATTTTTTGGGTCTTTTTTTAAGGATTTGTTCATTTGAGAGAGCGTGAGTGCCTGCGTGAGGGGAGGGGCAGAGGGAGAGAATCTTTAAGCAGACTCCCTGCTTAACGCAGAGCCCCTCCCGGCTGATCCCACCACCCATGAAATCATCAACCCAGCCAAAACTCAGAGTTGGTTGTTCAACCGACTGAGCCACCCAGGCACCCCTAAACTTTTTCTTTTTAAAAAATTGAAAACTTTCAGAAAAGTGGAAAGGAGAATACAGTGAACTCCTGTATACCTTTCACTGAGATTTTCCCATTGTTAACATTTGTTACATTTGCTTCATCTCTATATGCTATAAAAATAGTCACATTAAAACTTTTTTTTTTGCTGACTCATCAGGGAGTAAATTACAGGCATGATGCCCCTTTACTCCTCCTAATCCTTCCTATGTATTTCGTAAGAGCAGTGCCATTCATTCTCTTATATAAGCACACGCAATTATCAACCCCAGGACGTTTAACATTGACACAATTCTCTTATCTAATCTACAGACCTTAATGACATTTTGCTGACTGTCTCATATTTACAGAAGCTTTTATTTTTCCCCCAGTTCAGGATCACAGTGTTTTTAAAAGGGGTTTCCTGGGGTAGGAACCTGACTTTTCTGCAGATGACTTCTTCACCTTGATCTAAAACATCCTTACTATTGGGGTTTTGAAAGTCTTTTTGTTATGACCTTTGGTAAGAAATAGATTTTACGACAGATGCCACCTGTGCTCACATATCCACACACGCTTGAAAGTGAAACCCGTCTCGCAGAATGATAACTCACATCTTCAGCATCTTTAGGGCTCTGCTCTATTCTGTTTTCTTTTATAAAAGTGATATTCCTGACCCTTTGAGTTGATTTCATGACCCCCTAGTAGACTCTGTTCTGGAATGTGAAAATCCTGGCTTCTTAGGCAGAAATTTCTCCCAGGAGGGAAGGTAGTGCCCTGACCAAGGACTTGGAGTTTGGTTGATTTGGGGTCACCTAGGAAGCCAGGACTAGGAGAAAGGCCCTGAAGACCCTGGCCCACTGCTACCCATGGTGGACCTGACCCCATCCCTGTGATCAAGCCCCGCCCCCCCGAGGCCCTGTGACCCCATGGAGACCTCCGGTTCTTTATGCTGTGACATTAGGCAGGCGTATCCCTGGTGGCTCAGGACACTTCCCTGGCTGAGTGGGCATAGAGTTGTTCTAGTCCATGTCAGCCTCCAGAGTCGTTGCCATACTGGTCACAAATGTCAGTAAGAATAATCACGAGCACTTATTAAACTCTTTACTAGCATGCTCGATTCGGCACGGAGAGGTTTAATGTATAGTGGTGCATTTTAGCCCACAACAGTCTTAGGATGTGGGCTCTGCTGTTCTTTCTGTAAAAATTGCAGGTACATTCATTGAGCACTTACGGTGTATCAGGTACTGCTAGGTACTTTACAGACTCATGCAGTCCTCAAAGTAGCCCTAGGAGTTAGACACTGATATTATCTCCATTGTACAGATGGGGAAACTGAGGCGCAGAGAGGTGAATTGACTCTCCCCAGGGTCACACTGCAAGGAAGGATTTGAACCCCACCTACTTTCTGACCCTGTCGCCCACACCATCCAGCACGCCCACACCATCCAGCACGGCTCTTCCCTCCCCCCAGGCTGGGAGCAGACTCCTAGGCAGGCCCATTCCCAAGGCCTTGCACTCGTTAATGAGTAGCCTGGGGCAGCCCAGGCAGCCAGGTGCCTGCTGCAAAGCTGGAGTCTGAGTTCTGCTTCCAGATAAAGAGTCTTGTGCAAGGCTCCCAGCCCCCATCTGGGCTGGTGGCTTTAGAGACAATACACAGATAGAAACCAGCTGCTGTTCTCTCCTCCGAGGCTTGCTGATCCATCCACACTTGGTGGGAGCCCATTTCACAGAGGATGCCCTGGAGGCTGAGAAGTGGGTTTGCTCTCAGGCCCGTATGATGCTTCCTCCACGTGGCCCTTTTGGCTTATGCTTTCTGGAAGGGCTCCCTGGCCATCTATATGGCAGGCAGCAAGATTGGGAGGGGGTCATCTTTAGGGAACAGGAGCTGTCCCCTCTGAAGCTGGAGCACTACCAGGCGTGCAGGTGTGTGGCCCTCCTCACTGAAACCTCCAGGTTCCCATCTGAGAACAGGGATAGTAATCACTCACTCTAGCCCTTGACAGGGCGTGCACAGCTGGGAGGTGGCTGAGATGTGGATGGTTTGTCCGTTGTTCAGCGGACTCTGAGTTATTAAGGAAGCGGCCGAAAAACTGATTCCTGACAGGGATGAAACCCACATCGTGGAGAGTCTGTGAAGCTGGAGAGTCAGACAGTCCTGGATTCAAATCCTGTCTCCATCCTATGCCGCTGCATAACCTGGAGGGGAGAGTCCTTGAACTCCTCCGAGCCTCAGCTTTCCCACCTGTAAGATGGAGCAGCAAGGGCACCCAGGAAGCTTTGAAAGCGAGTATGGTATCGGGGGTAACGGTCCCTTTGTCATCAGGGTGGAGTTTTGAGCACTCAACAGGCCTAACGAAGTCAGGACCCAGCACCCCAGTACATGTTCTAATTTCACCTCCCTGGCGAGATCCCCTAGAGCAACCCCCGCACTCGCCTCAGCTGAAAATCAGATCCACCCTTTTGGGTGTCTGGTCATTTTAGCTAGAGGGGCACCTCTCTGGGCTTGTTATAAGAATTCCCACGGGGCCTTCTCCCCCACCCCCTCCCGGACCCCTCCAGGTTGTAAACTCCAGGAGGGGAGGGGGTTGTTCATACAATGGACTTGTGACCCATCCAGGGAGAGCCTCACCCTCCTCACTCGCTCCCTGGAGGGGCCAAGTCAGTGAGAAAATGGTATTTACTGTTTGTCTGACCTGATAATAAAAGTGATACATTTTTTTTTTTTTAAGATTTTATTTATTCATTTGAGACACAGAGATAGAGAGCATGAGCAGGGGGAGAGGCAGAGGCAGAGGGAGAAGCAGGCTCCTCGCTGAGCCAGGAGCCTGATGCGGGGCTCGATCCCATGATCCTGGGATCATGACCTGAGCTGAAGGCAGATGCTTAACCATCTGAGCCACCCAGGTGCCCCAAAAGTGATAACATTTTTAAAAAATGAGATATATTTGATCTACAACATTCTGTGAGTTTAAGGTGTTAAAAACATTTGGATTTGATACATTTATACTGCAACATGTGATTGTCACTGTGGCGTTAGGTAACGCTTCTGTTGGGCCACAGGATTATCATTTCTTCTAGTGTTGGGAAGTAATGTATTTTTAATACAGAAGCTTGGAGAGCACAGAAAAGTCAAGAGAAGACAATAAAATTCATCCTGTCCCGCCATGCAGACAGAACCATCTAACAGTGCATTTATAAACGCGTGGGTAAATATACATTATTTACATTTTGCTTTTTAAAGTTGAACTCACACTATGGTGACCCTGGGGAGCCAACTTCCTGTCTCCACCCCCCAATATATTTCTTAGCATTTTTCTGGGTCTTCGGTCTTCTAAGTCAGGGTCAGCAGAGTTTTTTAAAGGGCTGGATAGGATGTATTTTTTAAAGGGCTGGATAGGATGTATTTTGGGCTTAGGGGCCTGTGGGTTTGCCTCCACTGATCTCATATGGTCTCATCTCTGCTGTTGTAGCACAGAATGCAAATGAGTGGGTGTCGTTTTATGCCATTAAAACTTCATGTACAAAAACAACCTGCTAGATTTGGTCCAGGGGTCGAAGTTTGCTGACCGCCCCCCCACTTCCCTTCTTACTAGTTTTGATTTGTTTGGGTAAACCATCATTTATTCAATTAATCCTCTAGCACTGAGAGATTGGCCATTGGTAGTTTCTCTTTCATGTAAACCACTCTGCTGTGAACATCTTTTTTTTTCTTTCTATTTTTAATTGTAAAATATACATAACATAAAATTAAACATCTCGACCATTTTTAGGTCTATAGTATAGGAGTGTTAAGTGTATTCACGTTGTCCTGCAACCGATCTCCAGAACTTTTTCATCTTGTAAAACCAAATGCAGTGAACATCCCTGACTGGGCATCTTTACACATTGGTCTGGTCCAGAAAATTGGAATTGCTAGCCTAAAGGGGGTGCGCATTTTTTTTTTTTTTTGAGAGAGAGAGAGCACATGAGAGAGGGGAGGGTCAGAGGGAGAAGCAGACTCCATGCTGAGCAGGGAACCTGATGCGGGACTCGATCCTGGGACTCCAGGATCATGACCTGAGCCGAAGGCAGTCGCTTAACCAACTGAGCCACCCAGGCACCCGGGGGTGTGCATTTTTAAGGTGCCGGGCACCTGCTACCAAATCACTGACCCTCAGGAATTGCCCTAACTGAAGCCTCTGAGGATCACCAGTGACAGCCCGCGGGCCTCAAGAGGGAGTGAAGCCAGCCACTTCCTTGGGGAGCCCCTGCCTTCAGGGCTTGGGGAGCAGTGGATTTAAAACAACCCATCCCAGAGAAGCAGCAGCCGGTCTGCCAGCCTTCCTCTTTTGGGGAAGAAAATAAAAAGTCCATAAACAAGATGTGTTATGAATGCCGAACCAGACTTGGAG